GAATCAGCAACCAGAAAGGTTTCCTAGTTAGAGCCAAGCTAGTCAGCAGGCACTCTGGGCCTGAGAGTCTGAGGCAGAAAGAGAGACCTTCATTTCAGGGAGTCTGCAGTCTGACACAGACAGAGGCCTAACCCTAGAGGAGCCCCTGTGTAATGAAGGAGACAGGATGTCCCCTCCAACATCACCACTGCATTGGGCATCCTGGGCAAAGTTACAGGGACAAGCAGGATGCTGAGAGAAGGGGGTACAAGATGACAGAGCCAATAGAGAAACAGAGGAATGGAGATTGGTGGGAGGGGTAAGACTCAGAATGGCCTGTGTGAAGGCCCAAAGTGGAAGAAAGAGTGTGGCTCAAAATTGCCATTGAATATATTCCCCTGGAACAAGGTCTGAATGGAGAATCCCAAAAAATGGGAGTGCTGGAGGGGACTGGGGGGAAAGGCTTACTAAAGTATCTTGAAGACTATGGTTGAGAGTTTTCATCTGAAAACCAACAGGGATATCGAGGTAGGAAAGGAGCAAGATAAAACCAATGCTTCGTGGTGACGATTTCAGTGACAACTCTGTGGCAGAGAGGGAATCAAGGAGAGAGACAGGCTGAAGTGAGGGGGGTCATCATGTGGGCATCCAGGCTGATGAGATGGACAGGCTGACAGAAGAAGAGAGTGCACACACCTGAGAGAAGGTGCCGGGGAGGGGGGAGCAACAAGCAGGGTCATGGGGGGACAGGGGTGAGAGGTGGGATAGAGAGGAGCTGAGAGTGGTTGCTCAGGGTGGGGAAAGAGACTGTCTGGGGGAAGAAGCTGAGCAGCTCGGTTATTAAATTGAAGTTGAAGATAGGACATCTGTTTAGTGACAGCTTTGGGAGGAAGGGGCTATGGTTGTGGGGACCCAGGCCCTGGTGCTGGTCAGCCTGTTGGAATAAAGACAGGGACCTCATCTTAAACTACATGATAATTCTCCCACCTTCTCAAACTCTGGAAGGGTGGAGAGATGGAGACCTAGGACCTCAGAAAAGCCACAGTGAAGGACTGGGGCAAGGCCCAGGAGCCAGGAAAAATGACAGAGTAGGAGTCAGAGCACTTTCTGCAGGCTAAGCACCAGTCCAAGCCCTTTACAAATATTGACTCTTTCCATCCACAACTATTATTAGCCCCATTGTAAGGATGAGGAGACTTGTGTAGCTAAGTGGTGAAACCAGGATTTAAACCTGGGCTGTGCTCTTAACCACTACGCCCACTGCCTCTCAGGCAAAGCCAGAACAGAGAGGAGCCAGGGAGCAGCGCTGTGTCCCGGGAGGCCCTCCAGAAGAGGCCGCTTGGTAGCTGCCCAATAAACCCCTGTGCTTGTGTGGGCTTCACAGAGCCCCTCAGAAGTCTTCACCATGGGCTGTTTTGTTTTGGGATTTTTATTTACTTATTTTGGGGTTTTGGTTTTGGTCCAGAAGGTGGTCTCCCTTTCTTTCCCAATCTTTGTTTTAAATTTCTTTCCTTTTATGAGATGCATTTCCTGAACTCTAGCTTAAGTCCTTCCAGCTGCAGCCTCACTCTTTTCCCAGGTCTTCTGCCATTGGAAGGGGAGCTGAGGGCCATTACACACCCTTTCTATGTTAGACCTTTTTAGAGGCCCGAAGTGTTAATGCAGGTCTCTCAAGATCCTGCTTCTCTAACCTTCTGCAAACCACACAGTTCAGTTCTGACTTCTCTCCCACATTCCAGAGCCAGCCCGTCCCTCCTCCCCACCACCTCAAATCCAGCTCCAAGCTAGCAGACACCCACGGGGGAGTTTTTTCCCACAATCCCTTTCTCTTTGCCCTTTCAAGGTTCTGATGGGGGAGGGGATGAAGAGGGGCCACCTAGATGCACTGTCTCCATGAAGAATGGTGGCAACACATATATTAAACTGGGGTGAAAATTAACATTGAGCTCAGCCTGTGGTAGAGCGAGGTGATCTGGTAAGCTAAAAAGCTCTGATTCCCAGGAGCTGCCCCAGCCAACCACCTTTCGTTGGGTGCTAAAACACTTGGATTCCAATCCTTCCCTTCTCTCCAATCTCTGCTGTTTCATCGCAATGGTGTGCCTCGTATGATCCCTTCTCTGTACCCCCTTCCAGGGCCTCACCACTGTCCTGGACAGCTTGGCCTCAGACTGGACAGTAACACTGACCAGTCAGGCAAGAGAAGAATCTAGGCCAGGGAGGGGAGGGAGAGTGGAGGTTTTTTCTTCCGTCCTAAATAACTCTTGGCAAGAAAGTTGAGGTGCTCCATTGCCCAATGTCTCTTTTCCTCCCCACCAATGCCAGGGGCTCTTTTACTAGGACCCAGAAGGCCTTTTTCCTCTGAGGAAGTGGGTGTTCCTGCACGTCTCACCCACCAGAGCCCTAAACCCCTTATCCCACCACCCCCAGGATGACCCCAGAGGACATCTGAGACCACTCAGATCCCACTGTCCCAGCCTCTCTGGTCCCTAGGGACAGCAAGGGAAAAAGGCCTCTGGGTCTTCTGCCAGGCTCTTCCCTTGTAGCCCAATCCAACCAAGCTAGAGCTATAAATGAGCTCATGCACAGAGGGGAACGGGTGCCATTCAATGGGGCACAGGGAGGAGATGGGGGATGCCAGAGGGCAGACAACAAATCCTCCCACACAAACATATGTGTCAAGAGACTGGATGTGGGGGCGACGTTGGGGAGGTAAAGTTTTTCCTTAGGGTAGGGGGCAGCAGTGGGATTCTGCATCAGAACCACAGAAGGAATGGAACCATAACCCTGCCTCCCCCCTCCACTCAGTAGAGTCATTGCCATTTGATATCCACTGAGACAAGTTGGCTGCTCAGGCTCCGGGTGGGGGCTGGGGGATGGCTCAGAAAACAGCAGCTCCTTTCAGGACCCAGGTTGGCAAGGGCTTTGGGAGGCTGGACTGGCCCAGATCACCCCCCAACACCCCCTCTCTCCCTCCCTCGCCACCACCACCAAAGGACTGGGGAGGGGGGTGGAGTTGGCACTGCCTAGGCCATGCCTATTGCCTCCCAAGACCAGCCCTGGCGCTTCTCCCTGGGGTGGCGCCTTCCTTCCCTCTCCTTCCTCATTTCCTCCTCCATGAAAAACCAGTTATGAGCCAGGACACCTGCTTCCTTCTACACTTGGTCCCCATACCCAGTCTATACCCTTAGGAAGTAAAAAGCCCTACCCCTCAGCACAGGATGGTGCCCCCATCATTCCAGGGACATGTTCAGAAATCCTTGGAGATTAGAACAAGGGTTTGGGGGTGAAACCAGATGGAACCCAGTGGTGGCTGCTGGCCCCTCCTCAGTCTGGTCTAGGCACCCACTCCAGGACCTTCCTCAGCACCCCTAAGCAAGTGGCACTCCTCACAGAAAGGCGCCAAATCTCTCATCATCTCCCTCCCATCCAGAACTGCCTAAAAGCCATCCT